GGAAATAACTGAGAAAGTGTAATTCTTAATCAAAAGCAATGGGCATAGTTCTTGGCTCCTGCAAGACAACCAAACAATTAATAAAAGCTTAGTGGGGTGGGAAAAAGAAAGATGAGCTRAACATGATTTCAGGAGAGATGCACAATGTAGCTGCTAAACTAAAGGGAAATTGAAGGATGCACCTTGAAGGAGATGAACACTACTCAGGAACTGAGTTTAACTGAGTTTAAACAATTCAGCAATTGTTTAAATCGAAGAAGTTAATTAAGTTTTGATCTGTAATAGAGTTCCGTATAACCCACTACTTCACCTAAGCTCTATTCCACAAAGAAGTGGCAAAAATACCTTCAACAAACTAATATAAATAACAGCTTGCCACAGCTAGTTGCTACTAGAAGGGCCTGAATGAAGGCAGAGGGAGGAGTGAAGAAGGGGGAAGAGGGAGAGATGGAGAAATTAAGAGAGGGAAAGAGGAAGAGTAGGGAAGGAGAGAAGGGGGAGAGGGGGAGGCAGCAGAAAACCTGATATGAGACAAATGTGGCCATGCCTGGAGCTCTTCAAAAAGCCTCAAAATGGACAAGAAGGAGCCCTAAGTTATGTTAAATGGTTGTCTCTAGAGTAGCTTCATTTGCTCTCATCTGCAGGACAACAATCTATAGACATTTCATTCATGTATGATGCAGGCACAGTGACATTGCTCTGCTGCAGGTTAGGAGAGAGCAGCTTGCGTAACATCTGCAAATATGATTAACTTCAAAGAATATATGCTGCAGTTAATGAGTGATATCCCAAACAAGGCTGKTTTTTTATTTCTAATATATGGAAACAGTAGATAAATTTGTTTTGCTGCCCAGGACAACTTCAGAAAAATGCAATACTTTTGYAGAGCACTAGTAACTAGCTGGACAGTCATTTCTAACTGCAGCTAATCAGGACAACAGTGGTCCCTGAACAACAGCATTCACAAGTGTAAGAGGAAGGGAGCGTGAGTAGCACAATGACAGAAGTGCAACAGAGAGTGAGGGAAAGCACAGTCCTATCTTTTAGGAAGCTTCCCTCTAMACAGGGTCCTAACCCCAACGTCAGCTTTTTAAACTCCATCACAGTATCTGAAGCGAGGAGAGAAAGCATTTGATACAGGTATCAAACATTAAAATTTCCCCAAAGCCTGGATGGTCTCATTTTCTCCAAGGAACCCCTAGTCCAGTGTACTTGGGAGTTGRTTCCAGCCTGGATTCAGGTGGATTATCACCAATGCTTCAAGCATGGGATTGTCCTCACAGTTTTGTAGATGTTCTTTGATGCAAATGCTTTCGAGTAGCATTCTGATCTTTTCGGGGCCAATTTCCAAAAGCCCATATGTGTAGACAGCAAGTAGAAAGCTGGTGTCCTAAAAGCCCTGAAMCTGTGATGTGTGGAGCTTGTAACTAGAGAGGTAACCTCAAGGGGCAAAAGTAGCAGTGTCAATGAAATTATTCAGAAAATCCTGGTGAAGTTTGGGAAGCCCAGTAATTGCCTGTGATTGTTTTGAAGCTCTGTGACATTTATCTCCCTTTCTCTGAACACTTGGCATTGTCAGAGCGAGGCTGCAGGGCCACATGCTTTCACACAGCAAGCACAAGGAAAGTATTTATGCAGGAAGAAGAAACTGAAAAATTATCTCTTTGTGGTCAATACTTAATCTGGAAAAAAAACATATTTTGATAGAGCCTGAAGCTCCACTGGAAATGTTCACCTAGACACTGTACTACCTGTGCTCTCAGGGAAATCTGTTGATTCCCCAGAGGATGCTACTCAACTCAGCACAGTGCTTGCTTTTACTTCTCACTGCCAGCAGCAAACAATTCTGTGTAACCAGGAGTTCACTTTCCAGCGTGACAGACTGACCTAGGGGCTGTACACACCTAGGATTCCCCTGTGCTCTCAGCTATGGAGACACGTGTTTGCAGAGCAGGATAAGGGCCAGGCTTTCTTGGGAAGGGGCATTAAAGCACCCTGGTAGCCCTCACATGAAACATGCCCAGCTGGGCACTGTTTCACCAAGCCTTAGCAGAAAATAACCCGCTTACTSTTGTATGCCAGAAGCAGGAGAACTGGCTTCGAGCTTTGCCTAGGCAAAAGAAAGATGATAGGGGACAAACAGCCACTTCAGTRCTCTCCCAAGGGTGCCAGGACCTCTTTGTCCTTTTCTCCTCCCAGGGGAGCCAGAGCTCGGACCATCTCAGTGCTGCTGCTTTGCCTCTGAAGATGAACACCTACAGGAACACTAATTTTGCATTCTTATTCTTTTGCTTATGAATTGTCACTCAGTGAATGAAGGTACTCACATCTCCCAGGCTCTACATGCGCCAGGAAAAGGAGCTGTATTGCTGCAAGGCTCCTCCTCTGATAAATCTACATTATGACATAGTTTAAAAACAGTAACAAAAAAGAAATCAATCCAATGCCTTTAGGAAAGAAGAGTTGTGGCCTGCCCTCCCAGATGGTATGGAAGCACATGTAAACAGCATGGATCTACAAGAAAACAATGCAAAGCATTGCTTACAAGGGCAAGATTTTTGTYGATTTTTTGTGAAAAGTGAAAGTAAATGCAAGCACACAGTATAGCCAGTCATCTCCCTGCAACAACTTTATCTTTCTTGCGCTATATATACATAAGGAAAATTCTAATTCTAAATATATTTCCCTGACAGATATGTCCAAATCATCACAGAATAAATTAGTCATAAGCATGGTTCACGATATGTAACGAGGATTACACCAACATGTATAAACACCATGCCTCTCGATAAACAATGTAACTGGAGAAAAATCCTCATCTAAATGAAAACATCTGGCACTTTTACATTTTGTAAAAACATGGCTACCTGAAATCTCCCTTCATGCACTGGTATGTAGGACTTAGTACTATGTGCTGTTCTCAAGAAGTCTAAGACTGTTTATTCAAAACTGAGTAGTAAGGTTAGAAATCTGKTTTTTTAAGCAGTGCTTTCCTGTGGTCCAGAGCTTTGTCCCTTTTCAGGCAGTGACCACATCCATTTTTCTAGTTCACAAGCTACTAAATGATGAGAAAAARTGGTGAACCTGGGAGATGCAACAGCACCATCCTCTATACGTAAAAATCATACAAAGTGAAATGTGGCATCCAGAAAAGAAGCTACTGCAGCCAAGGCAGCCGGTAAAGGTGGCTGAGAGCACTCCATAATGGAGGGAACAATCACCCTCACCAGGTAACATGATTACTGACATTGCAGAGAGAGCTGAGCTGAAACTAAAAGTGGCAAGCGGGATATGTTCTAGAGTCACTGATGGAGCACAGAGCACTTCTTTCTCTGTCTGGTGCTGTGTTCCCTATTAAACCAGCTTCGAGCATGGGGAGGCCCTGGCACAGGTTGCCCAGTGAAGCTGTGGCTGCCCCTGGATCTTTGRAAGTGTCATGGCTGGGCTGGATAGGGCTTGGAGCAATCTGAGAGAGTGGAAGGTGTCCCTGATCAWGGCAGGGAGGTAGAGCAARGTAAGGTTTAAGGTTCTAAGCACAATATAGGATTCCATGATATGCGTCATGACTATTTTCTAATAGCACAAGTCAACAGCAGTGATTTGACAAACCTGCAGTGGAAGTCAAGTGTCTTGGTTTGAGACAATGTTTTCAGAGAAAAATATTACAGAGTAAATGTTTCCTCTTAAGTGAAAAATTTGATAATTTTTTCCCACCAATATGAAATAGATGTTCGGGCAAAAGTGAAGAGAGAGAGRAAAAAAAAAAAAAAAGTAGCTTTTTAATAAAATACAGTGCTGACAGGACACAGATAAAAAAGTAACTGTTAGATACTTAAAATTCAGGAACACATGCTGCCGCCTCCCCCACAGCCATGCGACCACGTGGTGTGGAGAAAAAGATGGCGGCTCCTGTCCCYGGGAAAAAGAAACAAAAAAAAAAGAGTCCACGCGGCCGCTCCAGCAACAGTGGAAAAAAACCTGATAGTAGTCCTCACTGTGGATGAAACAGAGGGTTCAGTGTGTTTTTCTGTCTCCAGCTTGGCTTCTTCCAGAGTCTGGGATAAGTYGGAGCCACGCGGCTTCTCCCTGCCAGCCGCCGAATTGCTCCAGAAGGAAAAAATTCACACGGGTCGGAGAAAARGGTGGCGGTCCAAGGAGAGCTGTCTGCCCAAGCTAACAAACCYGAGCTAGCTAAATGSCAACAATGTAATGCCGCTGCACACAGCAAGCAGRACCTCCCGCGGCACCAAGCTGAGCTCAAAAGGCCAGGAGCTGAGCTCCAAAAGCAAACGGCTGCGCAGCAGTCTTGGCTTTTAAACTGCCCGTGCTGCCTTTGCCCCTTCTTCTGGGTTGGGGTAAAAGGCACAGGCACCTTTTGGGCATACAAGCAGACGCAATATAGGAATACAGGATTGGCACAACATCAACCCAAGATATTCCACCCCTCATTCCATATTTATCGGCTTGAAGCCCAAACTAATACATTCTAACTCTAAAGACACACAAATATATATACATATACACATACACACATATACACATATATACATATATACATATATACATATATACATATACACATATATACATATATATACATATATACATATATACATATATACATATATACATATACGCATATATACATATACGCATATATACATATATACATATATACATATATACAAATTAGTGGCAGTGACATTCAGCAAGCAGTAATCATAGGCATCCCAACATTACAAGCAGTTTTCACTCAAAATCAAATCCCCCTGAGATATACRAATTTCTCCATCCTCCTKCATTATCCACYATGTCCAACCTGGTTCCTGAGCAAAGGCAACCCCACGGATGGGTTTGTCTTTGCTCGAGGCAGAATTAATCCACACATTCTTTCCTAAAAGACCTCTGAGATGTACTGCTGGGACCCTGTCTCCATCTACTGTATGCAGGGGTTCAGAYTGGGCAGGGCCTGCTYGGTTGGTAGAGTCTCAGGTGTTTACTATCCAGGTAGCCTTTGCTAGATGCTGTTCCCAGTTCCTGAAAGTACCCCCGCCCAGTGCCTTCAAGTGGGTTTTCAGGAGACCGTTGCACTGTTCCACTTTGCCAGCAGCAGGTGCATGGTAAGGGATATGGTGCACCCACTCAATGCCATGTTCCCTAGCCCAGGTGTTTATAAGGCTGCTCTTGAAATGAGGCCTGTTGTCGGACTCAATTCTCTCTGGGGTACCATGCCTCCAAAGGACCTGTGTCTCAAGGCCCAGGATGGTGCTACGGGCAGTGGTGTGAGGCACAGGGTAGGTCTCCAACCATCCAGTGGTGGCTTCTACCATTGTGAGTACATAGTGCTTGCCATGACAGGTCTGGGGCAGTGTGATGTAATCAACCTGCCAGGCCTCTCCRTACTTGTACTTGTCCCACCTTCCTCCATACCACAGGGGCTTCACCTGCTTGGCTTGCTTGATGGMAGCGCATGTCTCACAGTCATGGATAACCTGGGAGATACTGTCCATGGTTAGATCCACCCCTCGGTCTCATGCCCTCTTATAAGTGGCATCTCTGCCCTGGTGGCCTAGGGCATCGTGAGCCTATCAAGTTATAAACAGCTCCCCTTTGTGCAGCCCATCTAGGTCGATCTGGGACAACTCTATCTTTGCAGCCCAATCTACCTGCTCGTTGTTTCGGTGTTCCTCATTAGTCTGGCTCTTGRGGACATGGGCATCTACATGGTGGACTTTCACAGGTAACTTCTCCACCCGGGCAGCAATGTCTTTCCACTCTTCAACAGCCCAGATTGGTTTTCCCCTACGCAGCCAATTGGCCTTTTTCCATCTGTCCAGCCACYCCCACAGAGCATTGGCCACCATCCATGAATCGGTGTAAAGGTAGAGCTTTGGCCACTTTTCCCTCTCAGCAATGTCCAGGGCCAGCTGGAYGGTTTTGACTTCAGTGAATTGACTTGATCCACCTTCTCCTTCTGTGGCCTGTGCAACCTGTCRTTTGGGGCTCCATATGGCTGCTTTCTACTTTCGGTTCATCCCTACAATGCGACAGGAACCAGCAGTGAAGACAGCGTAGTGTTTATCCTCTGTGGGCAGTTGATTGTAGAGTGGGGTTTCCTCAGCACATGTCATTTGCTCATGTTTCTCCTCATCAGCAAGACCAAATTCTTCACCTTCAGGCCAATTTGTAATTATTTCCAGGATACCAGATCAATTTGGGTTTCCTATATGGGCACGCTGAGTAATGAGAGACACCATTTGCTTCAGGTAGCATCAGTAGCATGGTGGGTAGAAGGGACCTTAGCTTTGAACATCCACCCCATCACCAGTAGTCAGGGTGCCTGGAGGAATTGGGCTTCAGTGCCAATCACCTCTGAAGCAGCTTGGACTCCCTCATAGGCTGCCAAGATCTCCYTCTCTGTTGGGRTGTARTTGGCCTCGGAYCCTCGGTAGCTTCAGCTCCAGAATCCCAGTGGCCGGCCTCGAGTCTCACCGGGCACCTTTTGCCAAAGGCTCCAGGACAGACCATTGCTCCCAGCTGCAGAGTAGTGCACATTCTTCACTTCTGGTCCTGTCCTGACTGGGCCAAGGCCTACCGCATGAGCRATTTCCTGCTTGATCTGGGMAAACGCTTGCTGCTGTTCAGGGCKCCATTGGAAATTGCTCTTCTTGCGGGTCACCAAGTAGAGAGGGCTCACAATCTGGCTGTATTCGGGGATGACCATCCTCCAAAAGCCTATGGCGTCTAGGAAAGCTTGTGTTTCCTTTTTGCCGGCTGGTGGAGACATTGACATGATCTTATTGATGACCTCGGTGAGGATCTGACGCCATCCACCTTGCCACTTTACCCCCAGGAACTGGATCTCTCAAGCTGGTCCCTTCACTTTGTTCCTTTTTATTGCAAAGCCAGCTTCCAGGAGAATCTGGATGATCTTTTATCCTTTCTCAAACACTTCTATTACTGTATTCCCCCACACAATGATGTCATCAATATATTGAAGGTGTTCCGGAACCTCACCCTTCTCCAGTGTGGCCTGGATCAGCCCATGGCAGATGGTGGGGCTGTGCTTCCACCCATGGGGCAGCCAGTTCCAGGTGTACTGTACACCCCTCCAGGTGAAAGCAAATTGAGGCCTGCACTCTGCTGCCAGAGGAATTGGAGAAGAAGGCGTTGGCGATGTCAATGGTGGCGTACCAAATCGCTGGTTTGGACTCCAGCTCATACTGGAGCTCCAACATGTCCGGCACCGCAGCGCTCAGYGGTGGAGTCATTTCATTTACGCCASGATAGTCCACAGTCAATCTCCATTCTCCTTCAGATTTGCGTGCAGGCCAGATGGGGCTGTTGAAGGGTGAGTGGACCTTGCTGACCACCCCTTAGGTCTCCAGCTCCCAGATCATCTCATGGATAGGAATCACAGCATCTCGGTTTGTTCTGTACTGCCGGTGATGCACTGTTGATTTTGCGACTGGAACATGCTGGTCTTCCACCTTGAGGAGTCCAACTGCAAAAGGATTTTCAGACAGTCCAGGCAAGGTGTTTAATTGCTTGATGCCCTCTGTCTCTAYAGCAGCTATTCCAAGGGCCCACTTGAATCCCTTTTGATCTTTGAAATTCCCACTTTGGAGAAAGTCTATTCCCAGGATGCATGGAGCCTCTGGACCAGTCACAATGGGATGTTTCTTCCACTCTTTTCCAGTCAGGCTCACTTCATCTGTCACCAGTCAGGTCTTGTGATCCTCCTGTCACACCAACAATAGAAACAGATTCTGTCCCCACATGACGAGATGGAATTACTGTGCACTGCATACCAGTGTCAACCAAGGCCTCCTATTCCTGTGGTTCTGCTGTGCCAGGCAAACGAATCCACACAGTCCAAAAGGCACGGTTCTCCCTGGCCTCTACCTGGCTAGASACAGGGCCCYTCTAGCACTGGTTGTCATTCCTTCCACGGGCATACATTGCAGAGGTTCYAGGGGATTGGACATGTCATTCTGCCTTCCGTTATGCTGGGCTGCTTGGTTATGGGAAACCAGAGCTACTTCTCTTCTGGTGGAGCTTCCTCTCTGAGTGTTGTCATTTGTCAATTCACACAGCCGTGCTGCCAGGGCAGACGTGGGTTTGCCATCCCACCTTCTCACGTTTTCCCCATGCTCCCGCAGGAAGAACCAAAGGTTTGCTCATGGAGTGTACCCTCTTTCTCTGGCGGGGGACGTCTTCTCCTGGTGATAGGGCCTCTGGTCTGGACCGATGCTATTTAGAGAAGGTCTTCTTTCATCTCTTTCCTGAGGTTCTGATGAGTCTCCTCCATCTTGTTTTCCACTTTCTGTATGCGCTCTGACAGGCTTGTTTCCACAGCTGAGATTCTTGCATGTGTTGGGCCATGCACAGTATCTGCATGTGCCTGGAGCTTCTTTGCCATAGCAAGCATGGTTTCGTCCCCCTCACTGCATTTCATCATTGCTAAAGCAGAGGCATATTCTTGTGGCCCAAGTTGTACAAGTTTTAGCCACATCAACTGTGTACATTTTACCATGTCTTGACTCCTGATTGTTTAGTCATTTGAGAAAATGATCTCCAACACTGCCAGTTCTCTCAAGCAWTTAATCCCTTGTTCTATGGTCTTCCACAAGGTTTGATGTATCTGAAGATCTTCTATACATATGTATCTTTCCCTCACACTTTTTAGGAGCCGTGCCCAGAGACTGAGAGTTTCAGGCCCCCTTGCCATCCCTTGGTCAATAGCTGCATCACCTGACAGRGATCCCAACTGYATTGCTTCACTACMATCCAGCATCATATTATCACCTGCGGTGTCCCAGATGCGGACCAGCCAGCCTAATATCGATTCACTAGGCTGTCGTTTGTAATCTGCCCTTAGGCTACAAATGTTTTCTGGGGTCAGAGACTCAACCATAACTTCTGGTTCAGAKTCCCCTGCTGGCTGTGAGGTTATTGGCCGCCCATCATCATCTACTGGGAGAATGGATTTGGTTTTGTGTTTCCTTCTCTGGACAGGGGCAACTGCTACTGGCTTAGGCTCGCTGTCTGGTTTAGCTGCAGCCTGAGTGACTGAGGTGTCTGCTGTCTTGTCCTCTGGCCCCTCTGGCTCTGTCTCCTGCCCTACAGCATTGAGCAGTGTGCAGTAAGCATTAGCCAGGGCCCAGCATATTGCAATGAGCTTCTTTTCCTTGCAGTTCTCATTGCACTTCTCTTTCAGATATTTCCCCACCTCATCTGGGTTCTGATTTTTTTCAGGCAGGAAGTTAAAAGCTATTGGTTCAGAAAATTGCTTCAGTATTTGGCCTATGTTCTGCCATATCCCACACCACTCAGACTTTTCCACACATGGGAGAGGTGTCTGGGTAGCCCCTTTGGAAAACTCAGCCCTCATTCTAGACATGCTTCAGACCRTACAGAGCATTCCTACCAGATAAAACACCAAGAAAGTAGCATTTTTAACCTCTATGGGAAGCTRAACATCCTCAAAAGGTGATGTGCCRGATTTGAAGGGGAAGAAGGAGATGAAGGGCTGGGAAACATCATCCCCTACTTTTCCTGTTGCAGACTGGCTGTAATTACTAATAAAACCCCAAAACAAGTTACTAAGATTAGGACAAAGAAACAACAGAGCATACCAATTTTCAAAAGTTCACAGTACCTCTCTTAAACTTTTATAAACCATYCCTACCACACCTATAAATATAGCAACTCTGATTCATATCTCGATCTATAAAACCTCCATGTAAGGGACAAAATTGTCCCTAGATGTGGATAGGCAAATAGGCCTAGAGACCAGAATGACATAATACTTCAAACAGCATGGTGACTTCTAACTGTACCYCAATACTAAGCATTTAAAAACCAAAATGCAATTATTWCAAATTTTCTCTTCACTTTTTCAAGCCGCACACATTGGGCGCCAAGTTTGTCTTGATTTGGGACAATGTTTTAGAGAAAAATGTTACAGAGTAAATGTTTCCTCTTAAGTGAAAAATTTGATAATTTTTTCCCACCAATATGAAATAGATGTTCGGGCAAAAGTGAAGAGAGAGAGAAAARAAAAAAAAAAAAGTAGGTTATTAATAGAACACAGTGCTGAAAGGACACAGATAAAAAAGTAACTGTTAGATACTTAAAATTCAGGAACACATGCTGCCGCCTCCCCCACAGCCATGCGACCATGTCTGCGGAGAAAAAGATGGCAGATACCATCCCCGGGAAAAAGAAACAAAAAAAAGAGTCCACACGGCCGCTCTGGCCTGATCATAGTCCTCACTGTGGATGAAACAGAGGGTTTGGTGTGTTTTCCTGTCACTGGCTTGGCTTCTTCTGGAGCCGCGTGACTTCTCCCTGCCAGCCGCCGAATTGCTCCAGAAGGAAAAAAAAGTCACACAGGTCGGAGAAAAGGGTGGCGGTCCAAGGAGAGCTGTCTGTCCAAGCTAACAAACCCGAGCTAGCTAAATGGCAACAATGTAACTCTGCTGCACACAGCAAGCAGGACCTCCCG